TTGCTGCCTCCGTAACTGTATTTTCTAAAGGTATKATGGTGGTTTAGAATCATTATGGCAGGGAAGGATCTCTTGAGGGCTCTTGTTCAATCCCTTTACTCAAAGCTACTATAAATCTGAATTCACACTTTATCATCACTCAGGGATTTGCCCAGTTGAAGTGGAAGCTGTAGGGTTAACCATACCACAGAAAAATAATCTCTTTTCCCTTCAATGCAGATTTTCTTCAATCCTGGTCTCTACTCTGGCACATTGCACTCTTCCTTGGGCCCATGTATATGTGACAGTATTTCTGGAAGTGGGGAAAATACTTACGCTGCAGAGACATCTTCTCCCACATTACTGAAACACATGCTGCTCTGGAGTGACCTCAGATACCAGACCACCTTAATGAATGCTGCTCTTCCCTGTGAAGACTTGTCAGCACATTTCCYTTAGAGAGGTCCCTAAATCCCATGGGAAAGAGATACAGTGGCTGTGCCTTTTTTTTTATTTTAAAATTTTGTTTCTGTTCTAGATTGTGGTTTGGTAAAAGAAAACAGAGGCATTTGATAGGTGGGGTGCTGCTGGAGGGGTGACTTTTCAGCCTCTTTTTCACACAGGAGTCTACCCATGTTTAGCATTTTTTTGACTAAGTTGTTCCTCTCCCTCTTGAGAGAATGTTTGAATGATGTAAAAAAAACCAAAAAAACAACAGGTCAGTGAGTTCTTAGTGTGATATCCTATGTGCCAATAGTCAGCAGCACTTCCACATGCTCCCAGATAYGGGCTTAGCATCTGTTTGCCAGTTTTAGATGAGTTGGACACAACCTTGAAATGCTTAACAGCTCCTCCCTTTCTCTCTTGCAGCAGGGCAGATGCTCACAGTGTAAACACCATCCAAGTTTTGATTATTGAAATGTAGTATAAAGCAGGTTTGGAAAGCACCAGTAACTGTGAGACTCCCTGCTCTTTCCCTGGAAGTGCCCTGCTGGCATTGTCCATGATGCTGTTGCAGCAGTGTCCCTTCACACAGGGACTACACTCCTGCTGCTCCTGAGAGGCTGGTTTATTGCTCTAACAGTCRCACAGCCTGGGAACCACTACCAGCCTTTGAAACCTTCCAAGGTGTCAGMCTCCCCAGCACCTCAGTATGCTCCTGCAGGGCTGCATCACCCACCTTGGGAAGGGGTTTCTCAGAGTGTCCATCCATAATATCCCAAGCCTTCCCTTCTGCAGGAAGATTGGAAATTTCACTAGAAGTCCTGCTTGACTAAAAAGGACACTTATTGTAGCAAAAAAAAAMCCCTAAACAAACCAAACCAAAACAACAACCAAAAAAACCCCAGCATGTAAGAATGAGAAATACGACAGCAAAAGAATGGAGTAAGCATTGCTTGCTTGGGTACTTAAAGCTGGTATTGAGCATGTCCAAGTTTCACCTACAACTCAGACTACAGAAGATCATCGAAACTAGTACAAGAGGACTCTGCAGGCATTCTAGAAGTTGGGGAAAATGCACATCCACTGATAGAAGGAGGAAACAATGTGGTACTGGACAATATGGAAAATATAAAGTGATCAACAGATTTTTATAGCATCTTCAGAGGCAAAGCCTCTTCCCCGACTTCTGCATTCACCAGCTTGGTTTTCATAGTAGATGGGAAGACCAAATGTGGGGTTTAAGGACTGACTAGAGAATGGAATAGATCACACTAACCCAGAAGAGTTATCAATGTGGGTTYATGTCAATGAAGCTGCTATCAGCTGTGGTGGAATATTATGACAACTGGGAAAAGGCTGAATGAAAAACCTAATATGGTGCCCACCTTTAGGGAGGACAAGAAGAAAGATACATGATACTGCAGCAGTAATATCTCCATCCTTGTATAGTAATTACAAAAAGTAATTACAAAATTATTGTAAGCAGTACCTCTGTCATTGAAAAAATCATGAAGCAGGAATTATTGGAAATAATTTTAATGCATGTGAAAAGTAGGAAGGTAAGCAGGAAAAAGCCCACTGGTCCAGCCTTTAGACTTAACCCAAACCTCTTATTTTCCCCACTTAGCTCATCACTGCAAGACCTTGGGAAGTCAGTCACCTCTGACTCTACAGAGATCTTTGTGCACTCATCTGCATTGCTGGTAGTTATATTTAGAGCAGTGGATGGAAAAGGAAAGCGGGCTGCAGGAGTGGGGTTGCCGCCTTGAGTAGACAGAAGACAGAAGTGTCATACAAGCGCATTGTCGCCGAGTATACAGACATCCTGCACATGGGATGTAGTCAAATAAGAACAGATCCAGCATCAGCACTGCTGTGCTAAGACGCAATACAAGAACAAAGGACAAGCACACCCACTTCAGACTCCTTCCAAGAGGGTGAAAAGGTTTAGCAAACTCCAGCTTAGAACATTTTTTCCTTCTAACAACAGCTCCTTTYTTGTTGTGGGGTTTTGGCTTTCTTTTCCCCCTGTGGGCTGGGGAACAGTAAAGTGTAGCAGGGTAAACATGTGGGATAAATATAAGAAACCTCTGCTCCCCCATTCTGGCTTTTGGCAGGCAGGTGGAGCATGAGGCAGAAAAAGCTCTGCTAGAGCAAAGATGGTTTCACAACAAGAGTCAAGGGGATCCTTTATCAGCCACATGCTGATCTGGTCCAGGGAAGCCTTGGGAACTAGTGGGGAGAAGGGTGAAATCCTGCTGACGTTTCTCAGCTGCTGCTTTCAGCAAGGGACAAAATTGCCACACACTGTTTCTTCCAGCCACTGAGCACTTCTCACCCACTCAAGTAATAGAGGAGAGGAACAGCTCAATACTCTGAGGTCAGAAGTATTCTGTCCACAGAATATTCCTCTCCTCTGCAGGAGGAAGTGAAATGTTGCTCTCAGACCATTTTTCTGCCTGTTGATGCCAAACTTGGAAGCATGAGAAGGTAACACCCATGATTCCTGTGCAACATTTCAGGGTTTGAAAGTCAATGGAATTTGCAACAGGGACCATCACACCTGCTGCAGCTCCCCWATTTGCTGGCAACTTCCATGCAGTGATGATCCTGCATTGTCCCCAAAGCCCTAGGAGGCAGCTGTAAAGAAACAAAGCAGGCAGAAGACGCTGCCCTCTTTCCGAGCCCTCTGTCAATATGGTCTTCAGATCATGCCCCCAAGAAACTGCAGGGGCTTGGGGATGTCCTGCCCACTGTGCCAGCTTGGGCCCAAAGCTGGTAGCTGGTGTCAGCTGGAAACAAGCCCACCTTTCCCTGGAGAGCACTGAGGAACTCATGCCTAGCCTTAGCCACAATCTGGCCAGAAAGATCTCTTCCACAGAAACTGTTTTTATGAGAAATTGCCAAGGAACACAGGCAAATGTTTACATCAGTTTCCCAGGAATGACTTCTCCATTTCCACACTCCAGCCAAACCCACAAGCACTCAGGGAGCAAGCAGTGGCCTGTTTCCCCCAAGCAGTCAACAGCCTGAGTGAGAATTTGCATCCCCTGCTCCGTTTCAGAATGCATTAGCATGCTGTCCCCCTACCCACAGGTAAAGGAACCACCCCACAGTTTTCTGGTGTCATATGGGGAGTCCTAGGTCTGTTTTTCCATCCTGGAAAAATTTTGCAGCACAGAGAAATTAATTTAGGGGGCAGCCAGAGGGAGGAAAAGCTGGAGAAAGTTAATGCAAGGAGGTTAAGGCATGGCCAGGTCCACCCCATGAGCCAGAAACCCACCCAGTCAGAGGGGTAATCTAGAGCAATGCTGCCAAACATTATAACTGAAAATACTTTTATTTGACATCAATAGTAAAGAAGGAACATTGTGTTACACATCCCTTGATATATAAATCTTAAGAATGCAAAAGCAAAACCATCTACAGGAAACCCAAAAGCAGTCCAATACAGAAGTAGTGTCCTGGGGAAAGCAGCATATCAAGACCCTCCCTCATGCAAACAAGCAGATAGTCATCCTAAAGAATCCAAGCTTTAGCATTTCCTTTGCTGCTGCTTTTATGGSTTTTGACCGTTAGTTACACTCAGTATCACTTTGAGTGTTTTCACCAGTAGGGGAGAGGAAAAAACACCCACCCACCACAGGACACGGCCAGAACTGACTTCTGCGCAGCATGAGTGTTTGTAGATATGGCCCCTGAAAATCCCAGGGAGAGAAATTTCATGGCCAGGTCAAGTCAAAAGCATTTAATGAGTTTGACTGATACAGTTTACACAGAGACAATGAGATTTGGAAATCACGGGTCAGCACCGAAGGGCAACTTGAGCTATGAAAAGTGGCTTCAGTTCTTTACATGGCTTCTGGCTTTAGCAGTGGAAATGAAACTAAGTAGCAGCTGCTTGCACTGCTAGTATCTTTCTGGTGAAAAGGGTTTTCAAGTTTCCTGATTTTCCAGTTTCCATTTCTTCCCTTTTTCAAGGCACATGTTGTAGAAAACTTTGACCGAAACAGCGAGAAACAAGCGCTCATCCCACSTCCATGACATTGAATGATTTCGGCATACAGCCAAACAACAAGTKGTTGGACTAACTTTTTGCTAATCTTCAAAAATCCCACTGTAAAGAATGCTCCCCTTATCTCCACCACCCACCTGCCACCAAATCCAACCACTCAAATAACAACAGGTAATCCTTTTTCCATTCAATTACAACAAGAAGCCCCTTGGCATAGGCTGGTAGCAAGACTGACACCACTACAGCTGAAGGTCCCAATTCTTCACAAACTTGAGGTGCTCTCTGTGAAGGCATGCCATTTTCAAGCACAGCCTTGATGAATTTTGGTGGTGATCTGCTGCTACCTGTGGGAGTGGGGCCATCCTTCTAAGGCAGCTGGGGAAAAAAAAAATCCTCTCCTGTGTCTCTGTTCCTGGTATAACTACATCAATGCCAAGGTTTTACAAGTAGACCTTTGACCTGATTTCTGTAAAACACATCTTCTTGTACTCCCTTGCATCTTTAAGACCTGGAGCCTGGCCTGCCAAAAGGACTAATGCATTTTATTCTGTTTTTTTAATGCAATTATAAGCACAAGGGATAAGCTCTTAACCACAAGCCTTCTTCCTTGCACTTTGCTCCTGCTCCATGCAAGCCCATCTTTGCACAGCTCCCAGCATGACTGGAGCAGCAAGTCTAGCCAGAAAGAGCTTTGAACTAAAGGAGGCGAAGACTTTTCCAAAGTGAGACTAAAAAGGCATCTAGTAATTAAAGTCTCTAAGCATCCTTTGAGCTACTGCTGTCCTACAAAGAAATGCACTGTACCCTGGTCCCTGCAGGATCCCACCCCTGCAGTGCAAGGGTTCAGCAAACCCCTCAGGTCTCAAAAAATGCAATAAAAAACCAAACTAAACCAAACAATGAAAAAAAAAAAAGGCAGTGCTGAAGATGATCCCCAATACAACAAGTGTCCCTGATTTGAACAGTCTTCAGCACAGGCTAAGGAAGTGCAAATTGCTGTGGTCAGAGCTGGCTGGCAAAATASTCACCAGAAGGAATTCAGTTCTCAGTTCTGGCTAAGAGCTTTTAAATCACTTAAACCAGCTCCCTGGGTGTCAGCACTTGAGGCTTTCATACACAGGGGAGGAAAAGCAGCGTCTGTACAGGTGGTGCCCTGGTGCACTGACAGAAAATAGTACTGCAGAATGTGYGTGCCCCTCAAGCCTGAGACAATCAGAAGGGAGGTTCCAGATAGAGGACACACACTGCAAATAGGCTTTAGGAAAAGAAAAATCATTTGGATGTCGGCCCTGCTGTGAATATCTCAGCACCGCAGGAGATTTAATGGACAAATAACGCAGAGCAAACAAAATACATGGCTTATATATAATGACGCACATAAAAAGCCTACTAGTCTAAAGATAAAGGAGGCTTTGAATCATATCCTATTATGCTGCACCCTCGTTTAATTTGRTATTAAATATACTGCTTATGATATACAAATTACTTTTAAAAGTTATTAAATGTTAAAGCAACAAAAGTAATAAAAGTTTTCAAGTTTTATGCACAACTTTGCAAGAGAAAATTCTGGTTTTAAGAAGCTTCAGACAATGTTTAAATAGCATGGTAACTTCCTACCACTGCTAACAAGTGTTAGGAAGTTTTAAGGCCATAATTTAATTGTGCAATTAAATTAATCTTTATTTCAGGATAAAAATCCATCCAACACCACAAACCTACCCCTCTCTACACTTCCCAACCCCCCTTTAAAACATCCCAAGTGGTGTTGTGCTGAAGCAAATAATCTCTATCATACCCATAAGTAAGGTTATCTGAAGCCAGCGGTTTTTAGAGGTGCCATCTGTGTAGCTCTYACCCTATGTAGGGAGGGAGCTCACCCACAAATTCTGGCAAACTGTCTCAATTCACTCAAAGCCTCCTTTCAGACTAAAAAAGAAAACGACATTCATTGAATCCAGACTTGATTGTTCAACACCTGCTCTGCACACAGAGGAGATGTTTGTTTTGGTCACTATGAGAAAAAAGTTGTATTATGCTGTCTCCATTAAAAAATCTAAACGTAAACTTGTACAATTTTAGCAGCTTTTTATAGTCCTTCATAAAGTAAAACCMGGAATGAATTAAAAAGAATGTTTTCACGCACCTCATTCAAAATACCAAATATCATGGGCAGTAATTGTTGATACACCACAGTCATAATCAGTAAAATTTGAGTCCAGCAATTAACTCAGCATGGGGAGTACTGCAGCAAATAGATCCGATTCAACATTTTCTGGCAAAGTAAATATTTACAACTCTTATGTACAACTTCTGGACTTAAAAAACAATGGAGAGCTAGAAAGTTGTATGAAGTCAAGTTTGGAATTAAAAAAAAATTTAAGAAAGCACTTGTCCAACCAATTTGGAGACACTTTGGCATGCCAAAAGAGGCTTTTTTTTTTGGTTCATTGCAATTGTTACAAAACCAGCAGATGTAATGCATCAGTGAGGCCAGATATCCTGGGCAGTATAGGTAAGTCTCTGTTGTGTCTCTGATGTTAGCTCTTGGGGGAGCCAATATCCACTGTGATCTTTGTGTATAGAGGGTACTTGTCAGTTCTTAACACCTTGTAGGACAGTGTATTTAAACCATCAGAATTCATTGTCTCCCTCGTATGAGCAATTCGGTCAAACCTGCAGGAGAGGAAGAAAAGAGTGGGGGATGGGGTGGAAACAAAGACAGAAAGGAAAAAATGTTTAAACAATCYGAATTTTGCATGCCTCTCAGGCAGCATCTCTGGTGTTTCAAGAATAACCTGAGATTCAGTACCATAAACTSCCAGATTTGGCCAGCCTGAGCAGTGGGCCAAGGCATCCCTATGGGGTCAAATTTTAGCTAGGAAAAAGCAGCTAAGTTCTTAAATAGGTCCTTCTCCAGCTCTGCACTAGAGCAGAGATTTATACCTGAAAGACAAGCTGGAAACAATTGCTAGGAGTCTAATTTTCTGTGTTTAAAAAAATAACAAAAAAAAGAGGAGAGGCCAATGYTGGGGAAAAGGTCTATAATCAGATAATAAAAGGGGAAGGTGGCAGCTTATGGAGCAGGCACAGAGAGCATAGTCACGGAGGCGATGGCTGCAGGCTTTCCACTTTCGACCTTTGTGCATGGCAAAGAGAAAGCCAAGCAGTTGGAGGAGCAAGGGTGGGAGGCACCCTCTAAACCTGCTGTGGGACAGGGTGAGACACACCTTTCGGGGTTGGGTTCGTTCTTCCTGTCCCGGGAATGCCGGATCATTCTGCACTTCCCAATGACCGCATCCGGACGCGATATTCCCATGCCTTTAAACACCAGCCTGTGGAAAGCAAGTACATTAAACACCCTACGGATGTGGGATGCTCTGCCTCACCTTCCACAAATAAGCCTTGGTTTTACCTACTGGGCTTTTTTTTTTTTTTTTGAAGGGGGCTGTTACTAATGCACTTCCAGGCTTGCCAACACAAGGAAGGAAAGCCAGACCTTTTCCACAGACACTTTATCTATCGTGGAAACAGTCCTCCTGCCAACACCAAGCTAATTCACCACACCCTCACATAGCCTCCATCTCCTCCAATCAACACTCAACGCCCACATTAACCCTGCTCCAGGCTGTAGACTCAAATATGAGTGGGATCATGTAGTTTTTAACCTATCTGGATAGGAGCCAGAGGAGCAATTCATTTTTTCTGATGTGAAAGCTACAGTGCTGGAAGAAACCTAAGTGAATAGTGGCAAAGCAGCATAAAGGAGATGTGGAGTCACAGTGGTCCCAGCTGGGACCTACTGGGTGAGGGGCAGCCAATCTTTGTTGGCATTCTCTCTGCAAAGCACTGAAGAGTTATTTCATGGACAGCAGTGATGGAAAAGTACTTGATTTCTTCTTCTTTGCCCTTCCCTTTCCACTTCTATTTTAGTGCCTTCTGCTCCTCAAAATATGAGTGTCCCTAAATGAGAGGATTGCCACCTTGACTCTCAGTGCCCTATCCTGCTGGAAGGCGTCTCTCTCTAGGTTTTTTGACAGGAGTGCAAAACCTCAGGAAGGTACAATTGTTTTTTTGGAAGACCCTTCCTGAAGCCCAGAGGAGCTCAGGAACCCCAGAGAAAACATCACAGTGATTCTGTCACTGAGAAACATGAAGAAGGCTTCCAAATACAAGACCCTCATGATGATTTCTCTCAGTGAATGCTGTGGATATGTGAAGTTGTAAGGTAGCACAAGCCCATGTTGATCCTTTGCCCCGGTCTTCAGACAGCGATGATATCTGCCTGCTCTGTGAGARCACCTTCCTCCTTTCCTGCAGTTCAAGCACATGCAGTTCTTGGGCTGCACTGGGCAAGGTGGGACAAGATCTCATCCACCCTCCTGCTGCGTGTCCTGAGTCCCATTCTTTGAGCCAGTGCTGGCAGACCCAGAAGCACACTGCTYCAGCCCATGCATTGGTGTGGATGCTCATGAGACTACAGGGAGAATGAATAATGGCAGCGAGAAGGGGCAGGGGTAGGACTTTTCCAACCAGACCCATGTATCACTGCATCTTGGGAGCTGTGAAATGGGGCTCCAGTACCCAGCAGGAACAAGCTCTTGCTGAGCCYGTAGATTGCCCACACCACATCTTCATCTCCTGCCTGGAGACACCCCATACCCAGGTGAGAGCAGCAGACCTGTCTTCATCCCCACCCTGGATGCACTCCTGGGTGCCAAGCAGTAAAATTTATTTACCTGTTATAAATGTCATCATCTTCACCTCCCCAGCCCCAGTAATTGTTTGGGAACCCATTGATCTTTGTGAACTGCTCTTTGCTTAAGGCAGACACGCCTCCAAAATACTGATTGTAAGGCAACCTGGAAGCAGAGAAAAAAAGSACATTAGAGGAGGAGAGGTGCCAGCCACGGAGCAGCCTGCCTGCCTGAAAAGGCCTTGCTGCTGCCCTTCACCCAGCCCACAGAGCCAGCACCCTCTGCAAGCCACCTTCCTGCAGCAGGAAGCAGCGTGTGTTGTGGTACCCTGGACTCAGCTGAGGCAGAGGGAACCGGTGGGCTGTCCCAAATACATCTGGGAAGTATTTTGCAATTGGCAGCAGCTGCAGCCTTTTAATAAGCAGTAAGTACACTGTCCACGAAAGTCAGGCTGAGATGCGTATCACCTTACTGAAGGTGACATTAATGCCACAGGAGTGGCAAAAGCTCGGACAGACATCAGATGTGCCACAGAGCTTTCTCCTCCTGCAGCTCTACCACTCACCTCCACACTCCTCAGTGACTCAAAAGGAAGCTTGAAGCCCAAAACTGAGTTGGCAATGTGACCTTTCATACAGAAAGCCAACTAGCTCCCACCTGAAACAGGGGACAATTCACCAGGAGACTGAAATTCAGACCCCGAGCACAAAGGGAGGGTCCACACAGAGATCACCAGGACCTAGTACAGACTTGTCTCAACTGTAACAAGCAGGAGAATCCCTAGGGCCATGCATTTCTGTTTTAAGCTTTACCTTGCTGCAAGAAAGAACTGCAACTGCTGCAGTGCCAGTGGCAGAACTGCTCCAGGCAGGGCATGGCTCTGGAGTGGAGAAATGTAAACACCACCACCACCTCTGCTATAGCTTCAGCACTACTGGCCACCACAGGGTCATGACCAGTTTTCACTTTATRGATGAGCTTTTCAACTCTCCCTTGGGGATTTGGGGTGGGGGAGAAAACAAAAAAACCAGGAAGGAAAAGCAAGACGTGTTTTTTTGYTCACAACAGCTTGCTAAACCCAAATGTATGCTGAAAGAAATTTTGCTTTGTGCTGCTCTCACGTACCAGGGCAGGTCTCTCAGTGGCACAAAACCAAGCAGCCAAAAAAATTCTGTCTTGCTCTTAAAATAGTGTCTGATGCAGTCTTTTTAAAGCTGCACATAATTCTGTGTGAGAGTGTCTCATTTTTCAGACTGGGTGGAAACACTAGATGTCTTCCAGCTTCCAGACTGAAACACAAGAAGGGATATGTAGGCATCTGCAAAATGAAGGGTGCTTAGCTCTCCCTCACCCTACGTTTCACTTTCCAGAAGCTGTGAATTTTAATAAACTGCTCAGCTGCATTGCTCCGCCTTCCTCCCCTGCAGCCACCCGCTCCCTTGCAGGGACGTGCACGTCAAGACAGGCTTTTGGGAGAGACGCTTTCCCATGCTTTCAGTGGTGGGCGGGGATGTGTAACACTGTGCCTGCCCTGCTAGGCTAGCGGCGATATTAGGAAAAAGGATGCCCCTCCAAAAGGCGTCTCACCGAAATCCAAATTTATCCATGGATACAGAGAGGTGCCGTGGCTGGCTGTAACATTTGTAGGTGTTCCTGTCATCCATTGGAATGAGGTCTACATCACTAAACACGAAGCAATCATAGTCATACTCTTTCAGAGCCTCTGCGAATCCAATATTCAGCAGTTTAGCACGGTTAAATTCTTCTTCTCCATCCTAATTTAAAAACAAATAAAACCAGGTAAGTGACTTAAATTTGACAGAGGACAGCYGTCAGCAGTTTCTTACCTGTTGCCAGATGCTGGTGTTGCTGCAGAGGGCTGACATGCCGAGCTCCCTTGCAGSACCCACGGGATGTCTGCCACAGACCTCCCCCAACCCCAAATGCTGCTTGCAGGATGATGACACCTGGGACAGCCRCAACCCATGGGGCAGGAAAAATGGCTAAGGAAAGGCTGGACACAGCTCAGCTCCCATCTCTTGGTGAGAACCCCCAAGAGGGGATGTTTGATACAATATTGAGTGGCCCCTGTGTCCCGCTCCATGCRCAGACATTTGAGGATTGAATTTTCTGATACAAGACAAGCAGGTGGGGCTTCCTGGAGCAGCAGAGAAAAGCAAAAAGCAATGAGCTCCTCTGGAAGAAGGGACTCTTRGTATAGAGAGAAATACTGTCAGTGCTTTAGCTTACAGCCATGACAAAGGACCATGGACCAAAACCTTGSTGTGGCCAAAATTTCAGCACCCTTCCCCTAAGCTCTGCCAGAACAAGGCTGTGGGACTGTGGCACAGCCTCTGCTGAGCAACATCTGTGAGCACGTGCCAGACCTGATTTGCAAAGCACAGGACGGCAGCAGGAGCCAAGGTCTGATGCTCTGCTGCTCACCTCTGACCCTCTGCCAAACCCTGGGAAGCCATGCAGGCACAGGAGCAGGATGCTCCCTAGGCCCTGGGAAGAAGGTTCAGCACATGGCTGTGACACACGATGATTACTGGATGGTAGGCCAGCACAAGCTGCTTCCTGCACACGCTATGGCTTGAGACATGGACGCTGCCACTGCTGCGGTGGCACACCCCCTTCTTTTCCACCTTGCTTTTCCACCACTGTCCATCTGTCCTGGGGGCCTTGATGGGAAAAGAAAAATCAGAAAGGTTCTCACCATGATGGGAAGGACCTGAAAAGAGCTGACACCACAGCAGGGCATATTTATCCCAGGGCAAGCAAAGCAAATGAAGGGACCTGGGGAGAGCAAGGCAGGAAAATCTCCATTTTCCTCCCCAAGCAATGGAGCACCTGAGAAGAACCTGTTCAGCCCTTTCCAGGCAGAAACATTTCAAAAGCACACATGGATTTGAGCACAAGTACAGGCTCGCAAATTACTGAGTACTTTYGAAAAGCAACAAGATCATACTCACAAACCCAAGAATATTGGTGGTTTGAGAGTAAGGATTTTCAATCCAAGACCCCACTCTGGGCCAGCAGCTTCAAACCTTCAAAACCCTCTACAAGGGAACAGAGCAGGTAGAAAGAAAATTATAGGGCATTGCACAAAGAGACTGAAGTATTTTTGCCAGCCTGGAAACCAGGACTGCCAATTCCTTTCTACCTTTAATCCTCCACACTCCCTGAGCAGAGCCAAGCCAAAGGACTTCCCCACTGTGCAAGCTGTCCCTCCACCCTTGACTACCCACACCCACCATGGGATGCAAACCATGGATTGATAAAATACTGCACCCTAGGAGCAGCAGCTTAAAATACCACATCCTCCATAACAGCTTTACCTGGTTAATAAACAATCATTTTAGTAACTGCTTAATCCAGACTGGTTAATGGATCTGCTGCTGAAGAGCAGATTCTTGAAACAGCCCCAAGTATCTTCCAAATGAAGGTTTYTAAAATGCAAATGTCAAAACAAAGTTTTCAAAAGCATTCATCACCTGCCTTGGGCATAATGACTTCACAGGGAGGAGTGAGCTTTCATGGAAGARGATCTGAGCAAACTCTCAGCATCCTCACCCAAAACAAAAGAGTTCACACAATAATAAGGTGGTGGGTGGATGATCACCATCATGCATAAAGCAAGAGCAGTGAAAACGCCAGTACAGCAAAGGAAGGCAAGTGGAACAGAGGCTTGGAGAGAAAGAAGCTGAGGCTGTGAGATTGGAGAGTTTTCTTTGCCCAGCAAAGGTGACTGCCCAGCCCTAGCTGCCCAGCACTCCTCAGATCCCATGGCACCAAATCCAAACCTGTCTCCAAGGCTCCAAGGGGGACTCTTCCTGGTGCTGGTGCAAAGTGCAATGTGCTCACACCTCAAAGCAACTGCTGGGGCCAGTCTAGGAGAGTGGCCTCATTTCACACCCTTTGGCTGCACTTTTCCTAATGAAATTCAAGGCAAAGGGCACTTCACACCGATTTTGTAACCAGCAGAGGCTCAGCTGTAATTAACCAGTGCCTTCGGGTAGCCTCTAACTCTTCCGGGTGACACATGGCGATTAACACTGCTACAAGAAGCTGTGTTTTTAAACCTCTCCACAGAAAACCTCAAAACACAGACAGCTTTGTGCCGAAGTTCATATGGGATCCTTCCTGCCACCTCACCCAGGGGACCMTGGCAGAGATCACACTGGAAACCTGTGCATGGGGAGGAACAGGACACAGGGCAAAACACTTCACTCTCCTCCCAAACAGCCACACAGCTTCACACTCCAGCATCCAAAAGATTTGGAGGAAGGGAATCACAACCAGTACACTAAAACAAAGAATCCTCTCCAAGCCATTTTAACTTTACAGTGAGCACGTAGCTCATGCAGCAAACTTAGTGAGGCTGTTATCAACTGCAACTGCTTTGAGGGCAGAGGGTAGTTTTCTGTCCCAGGAGGTATGTGGGGCTTTTTTCTGTTCTATGGAACAGAAAAAAGACTAAAAAGAGGTTTTGCTTTTTGCAGAAGCTGTTTCTTTACCTAAGGCAATGTGGAAGTACTGGCATGCTTGTGGTATCTGAGATTCAAATCTCTCAAAACTCACAAGCATGCTTCAGGCTGCCATCTTTGACTGATCTCTGACATTTTGAAAAAAAAAAAAAAAAAAAAAAAAGCAAACAACATATCAGAGCTGGGAAAACTTTCTGTGCTGCCATTCTTTCCAGGTCAGCACAGAGTGCAGTATCTATGGGTGACCCTTGAGAAAGCAGATAAAGCAAAACCCCCCATTCCTCACTTCTGCCTGGCAGCTCGTCATCCCATGGATGCTGTTACTTGTCACAAAGAAATGGATTCGTTTGGACTTGCTTGGACAGTGGAGCATTATCCTGAAAAGCGAGGCAGCACACAGAGGACTGCTGGTTTAACAATGCAGTCAAGCCCCAGATGTAGCCTCCATGCTTTCCTAGGCTTTCAGCCAGAAAAGATGTAGTACAAGCACATTTTTGCCATTTTCTTTTTCCTGACAATTTTTTCCTGATGTTCTCTTGTCCTGAAACTTAACCCATGTCTGAKTTCAGTGCTGGCACACAGCACCTGCTTCTGGTTCCTGAATTAACCCTCTGTGTCACTCTCAGAACAAACTGCTGCCTCAGTCCTGTAAGGTCTGACATGGGCTCCTGCTTGCACCTGGAGATGAATGATCAGCCTGAGCAGAGCAACATCCAGGCTTTTTTACCTCCATCCCTTACCTTAGCTGGTTTGCTCAGCCAGACCTACCAAAGGATGATACTTTTTTTTTTTTTTTTTTTTTAGTGCTAGACATTGAAAATTGAGGGGTTTGGAGCCATTATTCACACTAAAGGGGTTGCAAACCGCAAGAAACCACCTGTCCTGACTTTGGTCTGCCTTACATGTTCATTTAGGAGGCAGCTCTGTGATTCCTCCTGCAGACAGCACAGACAACTGTGGCTGCAGGATATCCCTCACCTGGACGCTGCACTCATCAGGTCTCAGGCAGGTAATGGTGAGGACTTTTGTTTCTGGCCAACAAGGAGAGAGCCATCATCTCCAGTGGGAGCTTGCAAGCTAAGTCAGGGATACACCAAGACAGCCCAACCCACACACACCATGTCCATGGGAAAGWCCTTCCTCCAGTGGACTTGACCAGGCAAAAACAGATTTCCAGAGCCATACAGAGATACCAGGAGACACTTTGGTTTTTCTCTGTCAAAGGGTGTTTTGAGGCCTCAACACTGGGCAGTGGGAAAGTGCAGCCATAGCAGACACTTGCCTCCCCCACCACTGCAGGGTTAAGCAGGAGTTGAGCACAATCCCCTCCTTTGCCCACATACCTGATACCCTCTGCAAAGTAACATGAATAAGAACGATGCCCCAACCACTCCACACTCACACGCACACACACCTCTCTGGAAAACTGCTACTGAGACACTGCAATAGCACCAGGGGCCAGTGGAAAATGGTTGAACAACTGCCCAGTTTTCAGGGAATTGGCTAAGCCTCCTCTTTCCCAAASTTTCATCATGAGCATTTGCACAGGCAGTGAGAAAATTTCCACAAAACTTGCACAGCATGGATGGGCCAATGGGCCAACTGCACAGAGCCTGCCCAGCATGTGTCCTCATCTCAGATTTATCCGAAAAGTCCTACAATAACTACTCCATGCACCAGGTTTGGGCTTTTCTAGGGGTGAAGTGTGCAAGGTGAAACATAATACATATTTTCCATTGGCTCCTGTTACACACCAGACATTTCACAAACATCATCCCCCTGACTTCAGCCAAGTCCTACTCAGAGGCATTCAGGCACGCAAGAACAGCACGGTGGAGACACAATGGACTCGTGACAGAAACACATTGCGCTGAAAGGAAGAAGTTTGACATTACCAGTGCAGCAGTAGCAGGGCTCAGCGCTCCTCTTTCTTTCTATGAGATGCAGAGCACAGAAGAGCATGTAGGCAGCGTGTAAGAACCAGATCACACAGTAATTCTCCTTGCTTCAGTGATTGCTTTGATATAGACAGCATTAACAAGTAAAGGTAATATTTCCCCACTAGAAGGAAAAATAAAATAAAAAAAAAAGGAGGGCAGATGCAAAGGGAAGGACAGACAAGAAAAAGAGAAAAGCAATTGTCAAGACAGCAGAGAAATGAGACTCTTTTCGTACTGTATTTCTGCCAGAATTAATACATTTTTCGCATCTCTCTCTATTCAGTGTTCCCACTCACCCTCGGGAGATGCATCCAGCAGGTTTACTACCACTGACCCCTCCACTTCTTCCAGACACAGCTTATTAGAGGCACGGAGAAGGAGAATGTTTATTTTACAGATCAAGTAGTCTTCCTTGCTAACCTATGTGGCCAGGACCTATATACCCCATGTAATGCATTTCATTCTTACTCAAACTGTGCCCAAGGGATGCACCGGAGAAAAAACATTTGCTTCAAAAACTCCTGTGAGAGTTAACTGCAAAACACACAGTCCTAGTGCTGGAGAACAGGACCAGAGAAGAGGAATAGTCAGCAACACAGGGCAATGCAAGCCAGCATGCACCATCACAGCAGCAGCAGGGACTCCATCCAAGCTTCAGACACTGCCTGCCTTTATGGGCAACGGCACTGCTTTCCTCACTCCGGAACACTACCAACAGGGAAACACCACCCCAGCTGCACTGCCAGCTCTTGGCAGCAGAGATGGCTCATCTCCCACAGGCGATGCCCCCAGACCACGGGCAGGCAGTGCTCACAGCTGGCGGGTGAGCTACACCTGCCTGGGAAAGCAGCAGCCCCCACCGCGGGACCACTGCTGGAAGCCACACCACACCCTCGCTTCCGAGCCGCRCTCAGAGCAGGGAGGCACCGTCCTGCCACTGCCACCACCTGCCCCACCTGGCCAGCGGGGTCCCCGGCTCAGCCAACCCTGTGGCACCAGCAATTCGCACAGGCAAATGCTGCACGTGTAAGGAAACACAGCCAAAGGACGCAGGGTGCGGCTGGCCCTGCGCTGCTGCACYGCAGCGGCACCAGCTGCTCCTTGCGTTACACAGGAAGGATTCCTTACAGGGCTCAATTTTACAGCACAGTGTGCCAGTCCGTGTGCTGCAGAAATGCCTTGTGTCCTCAGCAGTGTGACTGCCAGGCCACAGGCACAGTTGGATGCAGACACTGAACCATCTCGGCTGCTACGCTTTGGAACTACTGCTAATTGCCCAGAAATGTCTTTTGTCCCGATCTCTGGCACTCTGGAAAAGAGCTAAGTAAAAGAAATTGTAGAAATTGAAGTATTGGTTTTCTCTCTCGGGATAGGTCTCCCACTACTTTCAAGTCTGGGATGCAATTCACCGCTTGGGTGACCATTTTAAATGTTCCTGGTGTTTGATATGCCCAAACACACCAACTGATCCAAGCAGCAGTTTAAAGAGATCACACTTAAAGAAGTGTGTTATTTCATTTCAATTCTTACTGAGCTGAGAACACGGGATATAAATACATATCCAGGAGAGAACCTGCAGTGGGATTGTCCAGACGGTGGTCTCTGCTGGGGCTTTCAGAACTGCATCTGCCCTTTCACCCTGCAGCCTGTACATTTAAGCCTTTCCAAGCTTGAACAACACTTATTTAAACACCATTATGCTACAAATTAAGACAGCTTGTCTTGAGTGAAACGTGCATTTTTATGCCTTTCTTTTTTATACAGGCAGATTGAAGACCACCAGGTATCAAGAAAAAAACTCAAATCCAAAACCCCAAGAACATCCCCATGACTTGTTTCTTTTCTGTTCTATCCATCTGAGGGCAACCACTTACCTGTCCCAGTGCCACAGCTTTGCTTTCTGCATCCTGACACTTTGTGAACTAACATGAACAGGTGTTCGATAAAGGGACATCCTACACGCTTATGGCACATCCATTACCAAATTAGGCATTATCACCTTAAAAATGCCAGCTTGTCACCTTAAAAATCTCTACATGCCATTCCTACAGCAGTTGGGAAAAAAGGGCATCTGGAAAGAGAGATTAAATTGGATTGTGCTATTAGGAACTTTTTTTCCCTCTTYACCAAGTGATTTCTTTAAGGAGAAACTCTTAAGTGTGTATTGTACCTGAGCAGAAGAGGGGCTCTCAGGTTTTCTATCGAAAGCATTGAAGCAAAATCTTTTCTTTTTCTTTTTTTTTAAGTAAACATCCCTGCCCGCCAGCCTACTGCTGTTCGAAGTAAAGCAACCATTCCTCTATTTTAAGGGGCACAGGCACTGTTGGGACAGTTGTATAAAAGCTTGTCTCTAGCAACTTACCTGGTTGATAACATATACTCCATAATCTAGCTGCTGCCTTTGGAGAACTGGGTGCAGGTAGTAGAGCCAGTACTTCAGGTGCTCCTCTCGATTCCTGAATGGTATGATTATGGCTACTTTCTGAAGTGCTATACAGTCCTTTGGGGCAAAACGACCTCCTGCTTTGACCTCAGGGTTTATTCTTGCCACTTCTTCCAGGTTTATGGGCTGGGAAAACTCCACGCGTAGTGCACCAACTGGAAGAGACGTGTAACACATTAAGCAAATTAAGACACACAATCTATTTCTCTGAGCATACATCCTTTACACACATTTGGGTTTTGGCTGGGTTTGGTTTTAAGTAATAGAGCTTTTGGTCCCAACACAATCCCAGCAGTGCATGGAGGTGTTGAAGCTTGGACCATCCATACCACCATTAAGAGCAAACCAACAAACACTGTGACCTCTTGATATCAGAACCCAATGAAGTCACTGACACTGAGCCCTGCAAATCCTACAATCTGTGAGGCAAACCAAGATCTGTGCCCCCACTGGCACATGCACCACAAAACCAGGCTGAGTGTTGCCCTCTGTGCTCTCACCCACCTCAGTCAGCCCAAGAGTCAAGTATTTCAAAAACAGTCCTGCTTTCCAACAGACAAAATTACCTATGGCTAGCCACATGCAAAGTGAATAAAATGCCCTTCCTGTTTTTATTTTACAGATATTTTCAGTGTTCTGTAGACATGCCCTTTATTTATTAAAAGTTTATATTAGAAATGCTAAAAAAGCTCCATATCCAGATGTGCATTCAGGTTGGCAATTCCTGCAGATGGTTTCAAAAGCAGCAGGTTTTGAAACAGCCAAAACAATCTGTGCCAAAACCAGTGGTTAAAACTGAGAAGCCCACGTGGCACCACAGAGAGAGGTGCCCTCTCTGAACATCCAGGCTGGCTGTTCTATTTGCTTCCAGCTGCTCCAGCACCAATGCAGACTCACCACAACCTAAGGAAGGGCCTCTCCTGCTGCCACGTCCCACTCCCAGCACCAGCCAGTCAATAAACTGCGTTTGGCACACACTCGCCTCCTGCTAAAACCAGCCGGTGTGGCCCCCATCCAAGGCAGAAAGTATCCTCCACAAATACCAGCATGGAGATCACCCCTGGAGGATTTGGCTGCTGTACCCTCCACCTCTCCTCCATTTGTGTGTGTGCCCCAGCGTCCTACAGCTGCTGGCTCGCACTCACTGCAGAGACACCCATGCCCCCCACGAGCAGGCACAGTGTGCACACACCAACGGGGGTACACTGCYCTGGGGGAGCCCCTTCAGAAGGGGCTCAAGGGATTTCTGGAGCTCAAAAAGGCAGTGGCCATCATAATCAACCTTGTGCATTCCGCAACATGTGACAACAAAAAAAAAGCAGAAATAACGTKCATGGCTCATTCCCTGGTTATTTGGAAGAAGTTACTTTAGTTTGGTTGTGCTGCTTCACTAGCCTGTGCTCACTGAGACTGGGAAAGGCAAGGAGGAGACTGGCTAAGCTGGCAGAGGTGCTCTGTGCACCTCCAGACACAGCAGGGAAGYTTTGCTGCATAGTATCTGCATTGTGCCAGGATGCAAAGGGATCTTCTAATCCCTTTGCATTGGTTAGATGGGCAAGTTTCCCTCTCACACAAGGAGAAGGCAGTGATTTCTCAGGCTCCAGGGGCACTGAGATCAGTCTGCCCATGCTCTTAGCACTCCAGCAATTCCCAGCTGCACCACTGACATGTCTGCCCGGTTCTGCACCCTCCTGGCTCTGCAGCACAAGCTGGGCCCTGTGGATGCCTTCCCTGCAGCTGCAGGGCCAGAGAAAAAGCCTCTCTACTCTCAAGTCTGAATGTGGCTTGCCAGGAGAGCTGAGAGAGTGCACTGCACCAGGAGGAAGAGGCAAAAATTGGAGGAACTGGGGCAGGAAGGAACATGCAGTGGAATGACCGGGACTGGGGTTCAGTGGTGACAGGATCAGGAGCCAGACACAGCCACACTTGTGCATGTGGCACCTGTATCTTATTAACGAGGCCAGAGGTGGCAGGAGGGGTAAACAGTGAATTGTTTCCTCTCAGTTTGGGGACTGCTTCCACACCATGGTGGTGAGCACTTTCCCAAAACAGCCTTTGGCCCCAGCCCACTTCCATACCTGATTCCCCCACCTATCCCTGTGCTCATCAGTGTCACCTCCTTGAGGAGACTGGCACTCAGAGTTAGGATGATGCTACACTTCTGTGATTTTAAAACAGCAGACGGCGTTGCACCGGGCATGGTTCACCTGACCCGTCACAGCCAGCAAAAGGGGATTATGTTGGGCATCTGTGTCCAGGGACTTTATTTTCCTGTCTTGCTCGCACCTGGTTGCCAGCAGCAGGAGCAACCCATGGGATGCTGAAGGAAGCAGTGGGGCAGAAGCAACACATTCCCTCGTGGAGCCTTGCCAGCCTGGTCCATTCCCAGGCACTGGGCTGCTGCTGTCCCACCAAGCAAGCCCCTTCCTGCTGGGACAGGCTGTGCTCTGTGTTCCCAGTTACTGGACTCTTCTCCCAGTTGCTGCTCCCAAGAAACAACTGCGAGCTTTATCAGACTGGAGAATGCTTTCTGGTTTAACAAACAAAGGTTCTTTTAATGTCTCAGACTCATTCAGTGTAAGGAGGGAGGAAACAAAAGTCTGCCATTTAGGTGAATTTACAGAGGAAGTCTCCCACTGGCAACCTATGAGCTCCAACTGGGCAAGGGCAGCCACAGGCGTTTGGAACTGCAAACAGGGGATTTTGCAGGCAGGCATCCAACAGTCCCCCAAGGCAAAACGTGGACCACTCATCCTTGTTTGCCTTATGGAGACTGGAGCATTGGCAAGGAAAAGATGGGAGAAGAAAAAAATATTTAAAAAAAAATCAGAAGACAGAGATTTAACAGTTTCATAGTCTTGAAGGGCGCTGGTGAGAAATAATCTCTACTGCTCAAACCTCCTGCTTAATAAATCAGTTTTAAGGGCACTACACCTTCTCACAAATACAGCCCTAAGGGATGCAGCCAACATGTAGGTCAGTGAGAAGTCCCCAGGCTCCAGTGCCATCCATGTGCAGCAAGGCAGCCGCTTCTGAGACAGGCTGGACACAAATCACCCAGTTAGTACATTCACCAAATACAAAACCAGGAAAAAAGCTGAATAGGCTGTTTTGAAACACAGAATGACTAAAACAAACTAGACTTCGTAAAGCCGTGTGGCTGACACAAAGCAGCAACACACCACCCACTGCAAACTGACACTTTCAGTTCACTTTCCAAGCAAGACAAGGCTAAAGCCAAATCCACAAAAGATCTCCAACTGGTAAACTGAATCATGGTTCCACTTACTAATTTTAAATAATTTTCACTGAAATTTGACTACCTGGATAGCAAGCAGTCCTAGGGCTGTTGTCTACCAAGGGTGCTGACTCAGGATGTGATCTGCAATGCCAAGAGAGTGTGCAAAGTCTGCTGTGAGTGCTGTCCCGTCTGTCAAAACTGTGTCCCTATCTATGTTTACTAGGTAAACTTTCCAGCTCGATTCACTCCATCTGAATCTTTTCTGCTTGTGTTGAAGCTGACTGTCTGACACAGCAGTCAGTGTATATGTATCTCTTCTAAAAACAGACAGGCATGACAGCGCCGTGCCGACTTGCAGCTCTGGTCACCCCACACAGCCTGGCATCTGTAGCCTGTTGGGTTCAGCATTATAAAGTTGCAACAGAGCAGCTTCACGAGCTTCCACTGTGTATTTTCAGCAAAAGAAAACCTTGAAAATACAAATAAGCAACTGCAGGAAGCTTGCAAAAGAACACAAAAGCACAGCATCATATCAAAACAATCCAGTGTTTGTAAAAGGAGGTTTTAGCTGGCAGTGGCAGGGTGAAAGAGATGCACACACCAAAAAAAGTCAGCCCACTGCTGCYCCTCACCTCTGACACTCAGAAGCATTTCTGCTCACATGGAAGGTGCACAGGAAAAGCCAGGGACTGTCACGCTGCTCACAAACAGGAAGCAGCTTCTCACATGAGGCAAAAAGTGAGGTTTGCAAAAAGCCAGAGGCAGTACAGTGCTGGAGCTCCAGGAGACTGTCCCAGGGCAACGCTGATTTTGCCATCCCCACCTCCCAGTGGCCATATCCGCCACAGCACCTAAACCTCCTGCCATCTGTGGCTGCCACAACACATCCTGCCTTGCACACTCATCCTGCTGACCCTCACAGAAGAAGCCCAGAATACACTCAGCCTGATGTTATAATAAATCTAGAGACTGCTCCARTATCCCAAAACTACGGGGGGTGATTTAGGGAGGCTCTAGGGAACATTTTCCCAATACAAGATGTGTTAGGAAAACTTGGGCAGCAATGCCTTGAGGGGCCAGAATTATACTCACGCATCTCTGCGGGGGCTGCAAACAGGACGACACCACACTTCGTCCAAGAAGGTGGGAGCAGGTGACACAACGTGGGGCTGCTGACACAAAGGGCAGCCTGAGGAGCTCAGGCAGGACAGACTGGGAACCCTTTACTTCAGGAGGGCAGTGTGGCCCCAGCAGAATAGGAGGGAGGGAAACTGGGTTCATGGACAGGCTTGAAGAGTGATCCAGCAGTCTGAATCACCCTCCTGAGACCTTCACTGGGAAAACAAGCAAAATCCACCTGAGTGCTTTAAGCCAGTCATCAATTTCAGACATTTAATTCAGTGAAAATGAAAGCAAAAGCATGTAGTAGGGGTTGGAAAAAGGCTCTCCCCGAAGAAAGCCAAAAAGAACATTTCCATTGCCCTGGCCGAGAGCTGCTCTCCATCCACTGAGCCATGTGCACACMCGCACGGCCACACTCAGACAATCCTCATACGAAAGAAAAGCTGGAAAAGAGAAGCAGAACTCGCAACAGGGAAAAAAACAAACAACCTCTCTCTGCAGGGGCCCAACAGAAAAGGGAAGGAAGCGCCTGTCAGCCATACCAAGCCCGCCTTGGCTGGGAAAAACAGTACCAGCTCCACCCCAGAAAATGTGAGAGCAAGCTCCCCCTGCGAGGCTGTGAAGCAGAGCTGGACCCCAATCCAACACGGCAGCTCGAGGGTGGACAGACAGCTGCATCCCACAACTCAGCGAAGAAGTAATTTCCTCTTATGGTCATTAAAATAATTTCTTATCAGCCCAACTTCAGAGCTGTGCCAGCACCTTTTCAGACGGCACCCACCAGACRGCTCA